CTAGTCCTCCTCCTCCTCCTCCTAGTCCTCCTCCTCCTCCTCCTCCTTCTCCTCCTTCTCCTCCTCTTCATCCACCTCCACCTCCTCCTCCTCCTTCTCCTCCTCCTGCCCCTGCTCCTGCTCCTCCTCCTCCTCCTCCTCCTCCTCCTCCTCCTCGTCCTCGTCCTCCTCCTCCTCCTCCTCCTACATCGGCAAAATTAAAATTCCTTGAATTTTCGTCACATCGCTCGCTCGCGGAAGCCGACGAAAGCTAAACGAGGCGGAAGACGGCGGAAGGCCGTCGGAAGGGTTGCGGAAGACAGCGGGAGTGAATGACGCCCCGTCCGAGCCCCCCCCCGTAGAAGCCTAGCAATGCAGTCTTCTGCCGTGGGCCGGGCGGGATCCTGCCTAACTTTCTCCCGTTTTAATATTATAATTTTAGTTCAGCCAGGCTAAAATCCCACCCAGTAAAAATGGGGTTAACAAAAATCCCGGGTCGTTCACGGATCCCGCCATGCTAGTAGGATCGGCTCGAAGTAAGTTTGGGCCCACAAGTAGTAGCATTATTGGCGTGTCAGGGTCGTCTTGAGGTCATCTTGTTATGCTTGGATCGCGCAGCCGTCGCGCGTCCATTCTGGGGCCACCCTGGGCGCGCGTGGATCCATCTTGTTGCCATCGGGCCATCTCGGCGTCACTCGTGGCTCCATGATTTGGTCATCTTCGGGTCGGCCTGAGACGGTCCAGAATCCATGGCGGAATCGTTTTGGGGTGGCGTCATCCCAGGGACGGCTGGACGTTATCGCCTTTGACTTCAGGCCCTCCTGGAACCATGTTGCGGCCATTTGGGCGTCTTGGGACTTCGCGCGCGCGAGCGCTCAGCGTGCGCGCGACAACTCATCTCGCCGATGGGCGCACACAGATATGATTGTTGTTGCGAGTTTCCAAGGGAACTTTTGTCGGAGCCAAGAAGTCCTCCTTCTCCTTCTCCTCCTCCTCCTCCTCCTTCTCCTCGTCCTCCTCCTCCTCCTCCGCCTCTGTGCCTCCTCCACTGTGCCTCCTCCTCCTCCTCCTCCTCCCCCTCCTCCTCCTCCTCCTCCTCCTCCTCCTCCTCCTCCTCCTCCTCCTCCTCCTCCTCCTCCTCCTCCTCCTCCTGGGGGGAGGGAGAAGCGACACAAACCCCAACAGGGGGCCACCTCCAGCGAGAAGGTCCACGATGCCTCCCCGAGTTAGGCGTAGGGGATGTCTCGAGCGAGAGGGGGGGCACCACACCACCAGGGGAACCCCTCCCTGGCTCCTCCCGCTGGCGGTACCTCGTGGAGTATGCGTCGCCTTTCCATTCTCCTATCCACAGCGGCAGCCAGCAGCACACGCCGAACGCCGAGCGCGCTCGGCAGCCCGACGGGCGGCGCTGACGTGACCGCGACCTCTCTCGCCTGCGCAGCAAGCGGCGGCGTGGCTGCCACCAGCCGGCAGCACGCACGCGGGGTCCAGCGACAATGGCACGGCCCGGCCCCGGAAACCCCAAACCCCAAAGGCTGCCACCTCTCGGGGACGCATCTTCTGCCTCCGCGGCCGTTCGCTGGCTTCCATCGGCCGAGGCGCCCTCGTCTTACTTCCGCCGGCCTTCCGCCGAGGACGAGAAGGCAACCTCCCGACCCCTCGACGTCGAGGCTCGTTCTGAGACGCCCAGCGGCAGCTGCCCCCAATCGCCCGCATGCCCTCCATGGTCTGCTTGGTGATCGTCTCCTCGTCCTCCATGAGAGACTTCAGGATGACGGGGAGACACTTCGGAAGGTGCGGCAGGAAGGCCTGCCGAGGCAGACTCGAGGGCAGCGGGGATGGGTGAGGGGATACAGCAGGGAGGGGAGGTGGAGGAGGCATGCTGCAACATGCCTAGCCACAAACAGTGGAGATAGAACTGCCAGTCTTTGGAGGCGCCTTCAGTCCCGACGGAAAGGAAAAATGGAGGGGAGAGAAGATGAGAGGAGAGAGGATAGCCGAGGAGGAAAGGAGAGAAGACAGTGTGCGGCACCTCCTTCCCCCATGCTCTCCCAGCCCCCCCCCCACACACTGGAACCCCCGAGACCTTCGAGCGAGGAGGAGGAGGAGGAGGAGGAGGAGGAGGAGAAGAAGAAGAAGAAGAAGAAGAAGGCGGAGGCGGAGGCGGAAAAGGAGGAAGCGAGAGGGGAAGGCTGGGAGTGTCACGTAGGAGCTTCGTGGTCAGAGAGCGTGAGGGGCGTGCGGCCGCTCCCGTCGCTCTTCGCTTGGCAGAGGCTGCCTTGGCCAGAGCGCCTTCATTGCTGTCGTGGCCCATGGCCCACCCTGGAGATCGCATGCCAGCGGCGATGCGGACGGGAACTGTTGCTTAGCATGCCGCCCTGGCGGCCCTGGTGACACGCAATGCCATGCGGACGGACAGGGTGTCGCTCCTCTCCAGGAGGCGGGAGGCTCCAAGAGCCTCAGGACGTTGACGCGTGGGGACGGGCGAGTGGACAGCGTGTCGCCTCGAAACGTGGTGGGCCAGAACAGGCGGAGCGACACACTATCCAAAAGTTCCCCACCGTATACGAAGGAAATCAGTGGCATTCCCGATTTGGGGGCGGAAAACATTGGGACGATAGACAGTCGGCGTCTCGAACTTGTTCAAGACACGGGCCCCCGACCTCTCGACCACCTCCCCAAAATTGTTTTTTCATCATGAGTTTTTTTTTGACGGCCACGGGGCCTTGCAGGGCCCCGAGAGGCCGAAAACGATGAAAAAAACCTCCCTCTCGACTTTTTGGTTTAACGCGCCGGACGTCTGGGGCTGGGCAGGCGACGTGTTGTTCTCAGTGGCCCGTTCAGGCGATCCAGAGCCCGCAGATGTGGACCTCTCAATCTCACTCACGCCGCCCTCGGCCGACGACATTCCTTTTCAACCACTGCGCCCAGGAACCTCCAGGAAGGGACGCTTCGTGAGGGGCCTAAGGAAAAGCCAACCGAAATCGGCGCGTTCGAAAACCTGTATTCCGAACGGAGGGCCCACAGACGGGTGCGCGTGTAGGAGCGGACGGAGAGGCCGACGACATTCCGCCAGCTTCCGCCGGCGGTCCCGACGCCGCTTCCCTTCTCACCGCGTGGCCATCCAGAGGCCTGGACCGCTTCCCTGGGGATCCGCTCCTCGTCCTGAGCTGTTCTTTTCAGTGTCCCTGGAGGAACTACAGGATGAGGGACTCGCGCCTCGCTCTGACACCGCCCACGACCGCGAAGCGCGCAGCGCGGGGCGCGACGAACGTCGCACCGTCGTGAAGGCCCCAGCCTGGGGCCCATGCAGTGGGCCCCCCCAGACAACCTTCCGTCGCATCTTTTCACGACGCGACGGGGTCTCGCGTTCGGGTCCTGACCCGGGTCTCCAGCGGCCGCTCGGGACGACTCGGGCAACCCCAGCATGCCCCCGGCGAGGCGCGACTGCTGGAAAGCATCCGGGGGGGCTACTCCCGCAGTGGGGCCGCAGAGGCATTTGAATAAACTCGACCCGGGGACGCCGGACGTCTAGTGCGAGGCTAGACACAGCATCCGTGGGGCGAGGAGGCCTCCGCGAGCCAACGACAAAGACTCCCGAAGACCTCCGAGCAGCCCTCCGAGGGGAGCTGGAGAGGGGGGCCAGGAACGGAAGGGGGGACGATCAACGGGGGGGGTCAGCGACTCAGCTCACTGAAGGGGAACTGGGACACACAAATAGATACACACAAATAAAACGATTCCCCATCTTTTCCTATATTTTCTGGGTTTCTGTCTTCCCCCCCACTTCCCATATTTTCCCATATTTTCTGGGAATCGCCGATTAATTGTGTCTGTGTGTTTCTTTCCCTCCTGACTCACGTGCAGCTGACTTCCCCAGCGCCTCCAGGCGCCGGAAGGCGCCTTTGGCAAGGAGGAGAGGCGCCAGGCGGGAGGGCCAAAGCCAGCTGCACGCCGCAAATGTCGCACCCCGCCGGTCCCCATGATAGGGAACGGCGGGGTTCGAAAACTTGTGGGGAGAGGCACGGCGGGGATAATCCCCCCCATGCCTGTCCCTGAGGTCCGACGTCGCGGAAAAGTGCAACGCCGTGAAAAATCCCCACCGGAGCTGCACCCCCCCCATGTTTCAGCGCCACTCTGCGAGCCGCGTCGAGCACTGCTTGTGCCCGAGCCCGGCATGGTACGAAAGCGCCCGTTGTGAAAGAGTTGCGACGGCGGGATCTCGAGGTATGCCCCCTTGCCTGTTCGTCCGGCGCAGGAGGGTGCGGCGGGGCGGGCCTCCCGCCCGCTGGCCTCCCCTCCCCCCCCCGCCGCCCGCCCGCCTACCTGCCTGCCCGCCCGCCTGCTCCGCTCGGATTTCTCGGATCTGCGCTGGACCCCCGTCGCTGGCGCGCGGAGCGCGCATGGGGCGGCGCCCGATTGGCCGCCAGGGGGAGGGCCCAGCGCTGACTCAAGAAATCCGCGCGGAGCGCCAAAAGTTCATGCATAAGCCGTTCTTTCTTCTTCGATCGCCTCCCGCCTGCGCGTTCGCCGTCGCCCGCCTGCTCCTACAGGCGAATTTTGAAAATAATCAAAAAAACAAACATGCCAACAACAACAAAATAAGAATCGTCCCCATACTAATTTCGAATATGTCTCCTGTAGAGGGACATGCCCGACCTGATGCTTGCGCCTCGTTCCCTCTCGCCCTCCCCGCCGCCGCGCAGCAGAGGCTGTCCGGAGCCGGCGGCGGAACGCCACCGGCCCGCTCGAGGAGTGCTTGCCGTCGCGCGCTTCGGCGAGTGGACGCCAGGCGGATCGCAGCGAAGAGCGCCTGCCGTCGTCGTCGTCGTCGTCGTCGCCGCCGTCGTCGTCGTCGTCTTCGTCGTCGTCGTCGCTGTCGTCGTCCTGGCGAGTGTTCCCTCCGCCAAATGAGCGGCGTGCCTCCGAGGAGGAGGAGAAGGGAAGATTCGGCCTTGGGTGTGGTCTCTTGCTGTGCCTGCTTGCGTTCGCTGCAGCTGGAAAAACATTCAAGCCTGGAACGATCGTCGACGAGGGTCGGCGAGGTCGATGGTTGCACGCACCGTGCGAGAGAGGAGAAGGGATGGGGAAGAGGAGCACTGGTCTAAACCCAAGACGCATCAACGATGTTGCAATAGGCCGTCCCTCCAAGTTCCCCGTTGGAGGACAACCGTCAGAAAATCTTCAACCGTGCCACATCACCATTCCTGGGACTTCAACGCCGCGAACTGACGTTGCTGTGAGGACCTGGCGACCCGAATCGTGCCAGAATACCGTTTCTGGGACGTCAGCATCGCGAATCAACGTGACTGTCGTGCCCTGACAATCCTACAACGTGCGGAAACACTGTTTTCTGGGACGTCAACCGAAAGAACCCGTGAAACTGCCGCAGGCTGTGAAAACGAATGTGCGCGGCGCGAAAGCGAGAGCCACACTTCGGAAAGGCACCGCCCTCCGTCCTCGGAAGCTCTTGCCAGCGCTGCAAACGAGCGTGCGCGCGGCGCTGAGGACCAAGGGGCAAGGTGTGAAAACCGCCCGCCCTCCACCCGTGGAGCTCCAGCACCCTCTCAAGAAACGGCGACGCGCGGTGCTGATGCGAGAGCCGCATCTCGAAGACCACCCGCCCTCGATCTGTGAAACACTGGGCAATACTTTAGGAACGAATGTGCGCGGCGCTGAGGCCAGCGCCACATTCTGAAAACGGGCCGCCTTCCGTCGGTGAACTCTTACGTTTGTCAAGCGTCAGAATAAGAACTGGTGAGGAAGTCTCAAACGAAACGCCCGGCCCGCCCTACCGACCCGTCTCGGGGTGCGACAGGGAGGAATCTCTTATGAGGAACAGTGATGGAGGAGGAGGAAGGCGCAGGAGAAGGGAGGAGGGGGAAGCGGAGGAGCAGAAGGAGCAGGAAGAGGAGGAGGAGGATGAGGAGGAGGAGGCGAAGTAGAAGGAGGAGGACGAGGAGGAGGAGGAGGAGGAGGAGCAGGAGGAGGAGGGAGGAGGAGCAGGAGGAAGGAGGAGCAGGAGGAGGGAGGAGGGAGGCAGGAGGGAGGACGAGGATCAGGGAGGCCTTCCCCCCCCGCCGCCAGAGCGGCCTGCCCCCCCGCCCCCCCCCGCCCCCCTCCGTAGGAGATAGGCGCCTGCGGGCCCAGGTGCGGCAGGTAGATGAAGAGGGCCAGCGCCCCCGCCTCTCGGTGAGGGGGGCCCGCGGCGGGCGCCCGAGGAGGCGAGGGCGGCGACGAGGACCGCGAGGGCGACGGGGACCTCTCGGGGGCGCTCCCCCCAGGGCCCCACCCGGGCCACCCCCCCCCCGGGCCCTCCCCAGACCTCCTCGCGTTGTGAAAACATTGCGACGGGAAGCTTCTCATTTCTCTCGGCCCCCAGGGGCCCTTCCTGGGCCTCGGGAGACCGTCCGAAAAAACTGCTCGGGGTGAAGAACCGGTCCCCGGGAAGGGGCCAGGACCTCTGGAGGTCGACGTTATGAACAAATCATCACGACGTCGGGGGCCTGGGTCCCCCGGCCCCCCCGGGGGCACCGCCCGGGCCCCCGCCCTGCAGGGCCCCCCCGGGCGCTCCCCCTTGGGCCGCTCCGGGGCCCCCTCTCGGCGCCGGGGGGGCCGAGGAGGGCGACGAGGACGGCGGGGGGCCACCACTGCGGGGGCGAAGGGAACGGCGACGGCGAGCACGACGGGGACGTCCCAGGGGAGTGGTCCGAAGCTCCCGGGGTCCACGCTGCGGGAAAAAACGCGACGTCGAAGTTCTGGGTCCTCCTCCTCCTCCTCCTCCTCCTCCCTCCTCCTCCTCCCTCCTCCTCATCCTCCTCCTCCTCCTCCTCCTCCTCCTCCTCCTCCTGATCTACCCCTCCTCCTAGTCCACCACCTCACCTACGCCTCCTCCTGCTCGTCCTCCTCTCTTTCGCCAGTGCACAGCCCTAGCGGTCAGGCCTTGCGAGCTGCATACTGGTCCTTCTCGTCCATCCTCCTTTTCCTCCTCTACTTCCTGCACAAGACATTCGCGAGCAACGGAATCCACCGAAAAGGAACTCTACCTGTTAAGGAAACTACCTCGACCAAGCGAGATCGCAACCGACTCACGCACGCTGAGTCCTCCTCGTCCTCCTCCTTCACCTCCTCCTGGAGATCCTCCTGCTCATCTAGGGGCCCAGCATTCCCAAAACAGTCTATATCCCTCCTCCTCCCCCCCTCATCCTGTGACTGCGTTCCTCCTTCTGGGGAGGGGAGGAGTGTAACGAGTTATCCTCCTCCTGCTCCTTCTCCTCCTCCTCCTCCTCCTCCTCCTCCTCCTCCTCCTCATCATCATCATCATCATCATCATCATCATCATCATCATCATCATCATCATCATCATCATCAGCATCATCATCATCATCATCATCATCATCATCTTGCTACTTCCCCTCTCCCACAGGCACCCCGGCCTCGGACGCCGTGGACAAACACGCGGCGCCGTGAGCCAAAGAAGCAGAGCCCTCGACCCCGTCTCTTTCGGGGATGGACAGACCCCCCTTTAGTAAAACGTGGTTTAGTGAAAACGACCTGAGGCCCAAACCTGGCGGGCGCAAGCCTGGAAAATAACGGCCACGGCGCCCTCTCGAGAACCGAAAACGGACAATTCACTAATCGACGTGTCACTGTTGGGGGTTCTGTCCAGCCCCGATATACGGCGCTCCCCGAGCCAGCTCGACCTTTTCGACGGCCATCCAGGCCCCCCGGGGGCCGGGGCCACAGGGGGCCCGTCGTGTCTCCCTGGCTCACGGCGCCCGGACGTCTGGGCACGGTGCGATTCGCACTGCCCTTCTGTCGCTTCGCCTCCCCAGACCCCCTCGCGTTATGAAAAAAAATCGCGACGGGAGCTTTTCGCTTCTCTCGGCCTCCGGGGACCCTCACCGGGCCTCGGGACCGTCAAGAAACGGCCCAGGATGAAGAAATCGTCCCTGGGAGCGGATCCAGACCTCTGGGGGACGACGTTGTGAAAAAAGAATGTAAAACAAGACGTCGGGGGACTGGGCTTTGCATTGCCATCCTGTCGCTTCACACTCTCCGTGCCGCGATGCAGGCGCCTTGGTCTCCTTTGAGCTCCCGCGAGAGATGCGCGGCAGCACGATGTTCTGCAGGCAGCTCGCCAGGAGGTCAGACCTGCTAGCGCTGCCGTGTGGCCCTGGAGCCCCCAGATGCGGGGCAAAGATTTCGGACAGGCCAACCGCCTGGGGAACCGCTCTGCAAGGACCCCAATGGGCGGAGGGGAGGAGGGCGAGGCCGTTCGCATGAGTGTCAAGCTGGCGCCTAACCTCCCCTGCCAGTTCCACCGGGGCAGCGCATGAAATTTGTATTCTGTACTTACGGACTGCGCGGTTGCATTATGTACTCTGGGTTTCTCAGTTAGCGTAGGGGGGGTATCCCCCGACGGGGGTCAACCTCGCCTCGTCGTCGCGCCGCGACGGGGGTCGGAGCGCCTTCGGCGCGGGATGTCTGCTCGCGACGGGGGTCGATGTGGGGCTGTCGGCGGGGGTGACGCCCCCCCGATGCTTATTAAGAAGCTCGGGGTATGATGCCTTCTCGTGCGGGAGTAGAAGAGGGGATGCAAGGCATGCCAAGGCGTGGAAGGAAATTCGCAGGGGCAGGCAGAGGAACGTGAGCAGTTATGGATAGAGAAGAGCATGAGCACTATGAATGCAGAAGGCGGGTCTGTAGGACTGCTGGGAGAGGAGGCGATCCCAACGGTGTCGCAAAACAAACGAATCGTATGATGGCGTCGGTTCGGGGACGGACAGAAACCCCTTTAGTAAAACGTGGTTTAGTGAAAACGACCTCAGAGCCAAACCTGGCAGGCGCAAGCCTAGAAAATGATGGCCGCGGCGCCCTCTCGAGAACCGAAAAAGGACAATTCATGAATCGACGTGTCAGGATAGGGGCACTGTCCACCTCCGATCGATGGTGGCGATGAAAATGCGAACGGAGCTACACTGAGCGAGATCGAGCGTGCGAGTCTGAGCAACGGGGTGGGTGGAGTGGCCGAGTGCGTGACAGATTGGGCACCCCGATGAATTACAGCAGGATGGGGGCCTTAGCGAAAAGAATTGGGGAATGCATGCTTAAATGGTTGAGCGGAATGACGAACGCACGAAAGAAATAATGGGTGGAGAAATGCGTGCACTCAACGCCTGCACGTATAAATCCGGAATGTGAGCGAGCAAGTCAGCGAGGAGCCGAGAGCACGCCAGTGGGATGGTGACTGCAAAGCATAGATATGAGCGAAGAGAAACAACCATGACACGAATGCCGGAACTAATACTTGAGGAAACGAGAATGGGCGGCGAAGCATGATAATGGATGGTGATGCTGGCCTCTTCAGCAGCAGCTCTGCGAGGCCGTGCGCTGGCGCGGGCTCTGTTTTTGCTATGGGCTGCGCCACTTCCTGTCTGCCCGCTACGTAAACGGTTGAGCTCAAAGACTGCCAAAGGGGCAAAAGAGCAACACACGACGCACGCGCGCTGCCGCGAAGCGCAGTCTCACCTGCATTGTGCACTGCCTGCTGCTGTCCTCCTCTCGAGACGCCTTTCCGCTCCCGCTCCCTTCACCCATCCCATGCGTCTCTCTCCTTGCCCGACCTCCTTCCTCCAGAACTCCTGCCCTCCTCCCACACTGTCGGGACGCTGAAGACACACGCGACTGGACTCGCAACTGGGACACGTGAAGGCCGCACGCTGGACACACACGTGTGAAAGCCCGGCCTAAAAAAGACATCGAAGAGACGAGCGCTGGCGAGACGTCCGGCCACATGTGCATCCAGCTGACGCCCAGACCCGCCGCGACACGCGCATCCAGATTCATAGGAATGTGGACGTCATGGCAATGGACACTCTAAAAATCCGATCATTGAATTAGCGTTGTGCTTAAAATGTGTAAGCCATATTTAAAAATGTGTCAAGCATGTTGTTTTACATGTTTAAAACATGTTTGAAACATCTTTTAGACATCTGGGAATTAGCTGGCAGCACGCTTC